TTTTAGTTCCTATAATTTTTTTTTTTCAGAAATCACTCATTATTTTATCTCAAGATTACCTATTAATTTACCAATCGAGTTACATTTCTTACATATTAACTATTATATAATTACATTTCTTGTTTTATCTGTTCAATATGATACTTATATATTATATTAAAAAAATTAATATAGTAAATAAAAAAGTTATTTAAAGTTAGAATAATAAAGATTTTTTTCTAATATACATGTATAAATGTACAAATAACTATTGTCTATCACCTCAAATTTACACATAAAATTAATAAGAACAAAAAACTAACAAGCGTTTAACAACTCAGTTCGATTACATCGATAAGTATATTTTTAGAAGGTTTATATTTAGTTATATTAATTATATTATTTTTGTTTATTAGTTTGTTTTATATTTATTAGTACGTGTCACAACTTAGTTATTTTTCATATTATTTCTTATATTTAATATTTTTTTTAAACTTTATCTTGTTTTTTCACATGTTCTTAACTTTAGATTTGTCAAAAAACACATAATATAAAGTATAGAATTTTTTCGATCATCTGCCTCATTATATATCAAATATTTGTATATCCTATATTATATTATATTTAATTACAATTCTTTAATTAAGAATTTAATTAAATATTCACAATTCATAAATTCAATAATAATATTGTTGAGTCAACTTTTGTTCATAGAATTTTTAAAGATATATTATTTTCATTGATTTGCTTATGTTGAATTGAAAAAAGTTATGTTTTTTAATTATATATAGGGAGGATATAAGATTTCTTATATTTTTTATGTAGTATTTATTGAATAATTGTGTTTACAATTTTTCTATTAAAAATATATTAAACACGTAAACTTTTTATTTCCTATAATTTTTTTTTTCAGAAATCACTCATTATTTTATCCCAAGATTACCTATTAATTTACCAATTTAGTTATATTTCTTACATATCAAATATTATATAATTAAAATATTTCTTGTTTTATCTGTTCAATGTGATACTTATATATTATATTAAAAAAACTAATATAGTAAATAAAAAAGTTATTTAAAATTAGAATAATAAAGATTTTTTTTTCTAATCCACATGTATAAATGTACAAATAACTATTGTCTATCACCTCAAATTTACACATAAAATTAATTAGAACAAAAAACTAACAAGCGTTTATCAACTCAGTCCGATTACATCGATAAGTATATTTTTAGAAGGTTTATATTTAGTTATATTAATCATATTATTTTTGTTTATTAGTTTCTTTTATATTTATTAGTATGTGTCACAACTTAGTTATTATTCATATTATTTCTTATATTTAATATTTTTTTAAAACTTTATAATCTTGTTCTTTCACATGTTCTTAACTGTAAATTTGTCAAAAAAGACATAATATAAAGTATAGAATTTTTTCGATCATATGCCTCATTATATATCAAATATTCGTATATCCTATATTATATTATATTTAACTAATTTTTTTTAATTAATAATTTAATTAAATATTTACAGTTCATAAATTCATTAATAATATTGTTGAGTCAACTTTTGTTCATAAAATTTTTAAAAATATATTATTTTCATTGATTTGCTTATGTTGAATTGAGAAAATTTATGTTTTTTAATTATATATAGGGAGGATATAAGATTTCTTATATTTTTTATGTAGTATTTATTGAGTAATTGTGTTTACAAATTTTCTATTAAAAATATATTAAACAACTGAACTTCTTTGTTCCTATAATTTTTTTTTTTTTTCAGAAATCACTCATTATTTTATCCCAAGATTACCTATTAATTTACCAATTGAGTTACATTTCTTACATATTAAATATTATATAATTAAAATATTTCTTGTTTTATCTGTTCAATATGATACTTATATATTATATAAAAAACTAATATAGTAAATAAAAAAGTTATTTAAAATTAGAATAATATTTTTTTTTTTCTAATCTACATGTATAAATGTACAAATAACTATTGTCTATCACCTCAAATTTACACATAAAATTAATAAGAACAAAAAACTAACAAACGTTTAACAACTCAGTTCGATTACATCGATAAGTATATTTTTAGAAGGTTTATATTTAGTTATATTAATTATATTATTTTTGTTTATTAGTTTGTTTTATATTTATTAGTACGTGTCTTAACTTAGTTATTATTCATATTATTTCTTATATATAATATTTTTTTAAAACTTTATCTTGTTCTTTCACATGTTCTTAACTGTAGATTTGTTAAAAAAGACATAATATAAAGTATAGAATTTTTTCGATCATCTGCCTCATTATATATCAAATATTTGTATATTCTATATTATTTTATATATAATTATAATTTTTTAATTAATTTTTTAATTAAATATTTACAATTCATAAATTTATTAGTAATATTGTCGAGTCAACTTTTGTTCATAAAATTTTTAAAAATATATTATTTTCATTGATTTGCTTATGTTGAATTGAGAAAAGTTATGTTTTTTTTAATTATATATAGGGAGGATATAAGATATGATGACATTAGTATATTACCAATTTGCCATTAAAAACATGTGAAAGTAAGGGTTCATTAGGTAGTTTATTTTTTAATTAAAAATAAAAATAAAATATGATGTGTATTAGTGTATTACTAATTTGCCATTAAATTTATGTCAAAGTAAGAGTTTTTTAGGCATTATAAATTTTTACAAAAACACTCCTCCTTTTAAAGTAGTATAGATATAGATAATGAGATATTTAAGTGAAATTAAAGTTGGCAGTTACCTAAAAAATAGGAAACAAAAGGGTTGATCATTCTGCCAAAACCACCGCACTTACCTAAAGAATAGGGAACAAAAAGTGTTATTCATTCTGCCAATGTTCATCCTGTTCAAAAAGTTTCGCCCAATTCAAGTTTCAATGGCAAAAAATTTTGCCCGGAATAGACGGAGGCTTCCATCTGGATCGAGTCGTTTTGGGGGTCGACGGCGTCGGGAGGGAGGAGGAGGATGTGTGGGAGGTTGCTGACGCCGAAGACGGCGAAGGAAGATTGAGATTCCTGAAATTCAAGGTTGAAGAAGAAGATAAATGGGTAGGCCCCGTCGACGGAGGATCCGATCATGAAGGCGAGAACCGCCGCCGGCAAGAAGAAGACGGAGACGAAGAAGAAGATGACGCAGGAAAAGGCAGACGAGGTCGTGCGATTGAAGTGAGAAGGGACTGTCCTTATCTTGATACTGTCAATAGACATGTACTGAGTTGAAAATGTATATAATTCGAAGGTATATTTACAAAACCGAGTTGGTATATGTTGGGTATATCCGAGTATATCCGAAGTAACTTTTCTCTGGTTATTTGTTTAATAATTCCTTTTTTTTCTTGGGGTTATATGTTGGGTATATCAGAGTATATCCAAGTAACTTTTATCTGGAAGACTTGTTTTTTATTGCACATATACTGAATATGTACTAACATAAACTCAAAATATACCACCTGACGGCTGCGTGAATTATAGTATTGCAACATACACTGAATATATACTAACATAAACTCAAAATATACTACCTGACGACTGCTTGAGTGGAATATATACTAACATAAACTCAAAATATACTAACATAAACTCAATTTTTTTTTTCATTTTTCTCCTGGTAGACATGGCGGAAATCACGGGACCTTCAGCTGGAGTGGTTACATTACATTGTAACTGATGTTGATACAATATAATAAATAAATTAGTTTCTTTAGGTATAGTTGTAAATACTTTCAAATAAGGGTAAAATTAAAAATATTTATTTATCTTACCGCATGGATGAAAATTTCCCTATATAATTTTCTTGAGTATTTTGTCTCTCAACTGTTAGGCATTTTTCAGAAATGAAATTTGTTTTTTTTAGCACATTGTATTTTCTTAAATATTATATAATATGTTTCCAGCGCATGTTGGACTTTTTTCTTCTGGTTAGCGCATCGTATTTTCTTAAATTCTATTTTTATTCCGCTTGTTAACTTGTAGCATGACTGTATTTTCGATTGTTACTATCACGTCTAATAGAATTCTTACGTGTATTTTCGTTGGTTATATGACGTGTCTAATAGGGTTCTTCTTGAGTGTATTTTCACTGGTTATCTATCATGTCTAATAGAATTCTTGAGGGCTTAGTAAGTTGTAGCATGAATGTATTTTCGCAAGTAGAGTTCTTCGGTTTTTGTTGGTTATCTATCAGCTAATAGAGTTCTTGAGGGCTTAGTAACTTGTATCATGAGTGTATTTTCACCGGTTACTATCACATCTAATAGTTTTCCCTGAGTGTATTTTGAAAAGTGGAGCCTTAAAATGAGTCTCACAGTTTAGAATTTTGAAAAGTGGAGCCTTAAAACATGAGTCCCACAGTTTAGAAGCAACGCCATTTTTCACCTACAGATGATACTCTCCTCTCATCAAAGGATTGCACATCTCAGGACGCGTACACTGAACAACTGAAAAGGATAATGAACAAGCTTCTCAACAAAGGCATTTTTGGTTTCATTTTGAATCTCAACAGCTCATCTCTGCAGGCACCACACTCTTCCTCCGGCTATTTCAGCCTTACTTGCAACAAGACTCTGAAGTCTTTCAGGAGCCCACTACACTCCCTCCTTCGTGACACACATTGTACTTGTTAATGACTTGTTTTTCTCAAAACAAAAATGTAAAATTTTCTAGGCATATGGCCTAGGGCAGTTCAGTGGATATGTAGCATCAAACAAACATGTTGAGATGCAGAAACATTCACCACATTACAATTGGACATCAAGCAAGTATTTAAATGCATGTATTGAGCTGATAAACATCCAACAAAAATAGAACATCCCAAAATCTCTCATCAGAAACAAAGTAACAGCTTTAACCAACATCCTTCACTAAAAAAGTTTCAAAAACATCTCACACCTCCAAATAGATTTCCAGCAACTGACGTACAGAAGCAAGAAAAAACAACACAGCCCTACTCAAAAGCTATTGGGTTTTCAAGCAGCAGCAGATGGTTTAGCGGCGGCAGCAGAAAGTCGAGACCTCTTCTTGGCTAGGCTCTCGCTCCTCCTCTCTCTCTCTCTGTGTTCCTTCAAATGGGTGGCGAGAAGCTTATGGTACTCGGCAGCCTCTGACTTGGCCTTGGCAATCCTCTTTTTCACATCAGCAATTCTGGCTCTCTTCCTCTGAAGGGTCAATGGGTGACAAGCCTCTGAATCTTAGGAGCTTTGCTCACCTTCTTACCTATTTTCGTGCATAAATACAATGGTCAAGGGGTTGGTAGATTTCAAACCTTTTATGAATGCTACAAACAAAATGATGATTTAATAAATTAGATTAGTGATAAAATTAAGATTGTGATAGTTGATGAGAGCAAGTCATTTATAAGATAACATTAACAATAATTTGTTAAGACAGACCATTCTACATGATTGAAATTTTTGGTGACACGATTTGAGAAAGAGCAGTGTACTTTCTAAACAAGTTTCTTGATGAGCATTAATGAAAATAACAAAAAAAGCTCACCAGTTTTGGTGGTGAATGTCCGGCGGGGTATGTGTTAGACATACTTCCTAACATCATCTTCCTTGGAAAGATTGAAAAGCTTGCGCATCTTAGAAGTCCTCTTGGGACCCGTCATCCTCGGCTTCTCGACATCAGTCAACCGTGGAAGGTCATTCTCACCCTTCTTAACAATCACCAAATTCAAAACAGACAAATCGGGGCTAACGATGCACCCATGAACAGACTTCCATCGGCGCTTTCCATTTCTCCTCCCATAACCACGGAGTTCTTGTTTAAAAAATATAATTTCTCTGTTTGAAAAAATCTCTGATTTTTTTTTTAAATATATATATTATTAAATCAAGTTTGAGTATTCTACATATATCTCTGCAGCAAGAGTCTCACACGGCCAGGAGTCAGCACACCCTGCTTCATGGGGAAACACTGCTTGTCACAGCCCCCCATGATCTTGAAAACATAGCCTTTGGATTCCTGAATTATTTTAAATTTGATGATTGCAGGCATGGTACCCAAATACATCATCACATATTAGCAGGTAAAAATATTTATAGGAAATCAAAAAGATTTCCCTGGAAGAAAAAGCCATACCTCACCCAATGCATCTCCACTAACCTCCTCAGATCCATGTTGTATTCAAGCACTAAATAATCATTGAAGCTATTCGCACACAATTCTTCCATCCTACGAAAGCAAGCGCTTTCAGAGAGATACATCAGAAGCTACAATATAGCCTTTACTATATCTTTCCCTAGAAGAAGGGTTCTTACCCAAGGCGTAAACGAGAGAGTGACGGCTAAAATTAATCTTTCCTACATCCTCAATCTTAAAACACTTCTGTACTTGGTAAGCATTCCAACCTGTTTGGCTTCAGAAGCCGGAAAAGGTCATTCGTCCGTCTTTGATGCATGCAATTGGTTCCAACTGCCATTAAAAGGTTGTAGCCAACAATATAGAGATCGAATGACTAAAACTTGACGTGCGGCTCTTTCGATTCTTCCAAAAATAAAACTATATCGTGATAGGTTTCTTTATGTATCCTATTAGCTCTTACTCCTATTGATATTTTCTGTCTCCACCCATCGAGAAATTCTAAAAAAACTTTCTTATAAGAACTAACAGAGGGGGAGGATTTCACGCCGGCAAGACAGACTGAATTTCAGTAGGTAGTCGAAAACAAGAAAAAAACAGAAATTTAAGAGATTGAAAGTAAAACGCACGAATTAAAGGGTTGGAGGACTTACTCATTGTCGCAGGTGGTAGAAGTTGATCGGCGGTGGTCCAAACGGCAAGAACTCAGAACGCAAGTGAATCTTCGTCGGAAGCAGAAGAAGGTTAATTTACCAAGGGAAGTTTGATTGCAAAAGCGAAAAATCGTAAAAACGAGTTAAGGCAACCTTTTATAGTGATGAGGAAGAAGGAGAAAAGACCAAAAAATGCGAAACATAGGATTAACTCAAGATCAATGATCTAGCTTAAAAGAGATCAAGTAAAAAGACCGGTCGAGTGCAAACGTCATATTAACGTCATATTAAAAGTGATGACGAAGGGACGAGATTAACTGAGCAATTAATCGAGTGCACTACACAAGGAGTACACGGGGTACGAAGCGCCAGATGAAGGGACATTTTGGACTGGTTCATGCACGTGGCGATAAGACGACTCAAAATCTGAATGTGAAAACCCATCTTGTCGCCACGTGCATGAACAAGTCCAAAACGTCCCCTCATTTGACGCTTCGTACCCCGTGTACACCTTGTGCACTGCACCCAATTAATTGTCCACTTAATCTCGTCCTTTCGTCATCACTTTTAATCTAACAGTTGAACTCGACCAGTCTTTTTACTTGCACCCTTTAATCTGCATCAATGTGCATTAATCCTACGGCTCGCATCTTTTGGTCTTTTCTCCTTCGTCCTCATCATTATAAAAGGTTGTCTTAACCCGTTTTTTATAGTTTTCCACTTCTGCAATCAAACTTCCCTTGGTAAATTCCACTTCCTCTGCTTCCGACGAAAATTCACCTACGTCCTGAGTTCTTGTCGTTTGGACGGCTGACGATCAACTCCTCCCACCTGCGACAATGAGTGAGTCCTCCAACCCTTCAATTCGTGCGTTTTACTTTCAATTTCTTAAATTTTTGTTTTTTTTCTTGTTTTCGACTACTTATGTTTTCGTCTGTCTTGCCGATGTGAAATCCTCCCGTCTATTAGCTCTTATAAGAAAGCTTTTTCAGAATTCCTCGATGGGTGGAGACAGAAAATATCAGTAGAACTAAGAACTAACAGGTTCCGTAAACTACCTGCTGCTGCTGAGAGAAACCTATCATGACATAGTTTTATTTTTGGAAGAATCGAAAGAATTGCACGTCAAGTTTCAGTCATTCGATCTCTATATTGTGGGCTACAAGCCTTTGAATGGTTGTTGGAACCAATTGCGTGCATTTCGGCTTCTGAAGCTAAACAGGTCGAAGTGCTCACCAAGTACAGTAATCTCTAGTAATCTCTTGAAACAGACAAAGTTTAAGGATGTAGGAAAGATTAAGTTACGTCGTCACTCTCTCGTAAACGCCTTTTACGGCTTGGGTAAGAACCCTTATTCAAGAAAAGATATAGTAAAGACTATATTGTACAACATGGATTAAAGTGATAACCAAAGTGCTCAATACCTATGTTAGCGGTTAGTTTACAAAACAACAAGGGACAAGAAAATCAAAAATCAGTATGAAACAAACAAAAAA